GGGCCTGTTCCCCTCCCTCCCCCCTACCCTGAGCTCTCGGGACTCTGGGCCTGCAGAGGGAGCCCAGTGTCCCATCGGGTAGCTAATCTCTCACTGCTGTCTCTCCCGCCCTTCCCCGCCCTGCCCCACTTGGAGCGGGGTGGGGATGGGGGTTTATCAGCCAGGTGTCTCACTACCCTGGGACGCTCTGTCTTCCAGAGAAACCTGGGCTCTGCCCTGTGTTCCCTCCAGACACCATTGGGATCTGCGCCCTGTTGTGCTCCAGTGACAACGACTGCCCTGGAGCACAGGAGTGCTGCAGCGTTGGGTGTGGCCAGACGTGCTTTGCCCCCACGCACGTGAGATTCAGCGTCGTGCAGCGACTCTCTAGAGTGAGCCCACAGCTCTTTGGGGAGGAGGGGAAGGGCTGGGGAAGCTGGCGAGCAGACAGGGAGGGGAGGGCTCAGGCATGTTATCTGCGCAGCCGGCCTCGCCAACTGGATTTCCAGCTGCCTCCCGGGGCTGCTCTGGACCATCTTCCTATTCAACATGTTCATAAATGATCTGGAGAAAGGGGTAAGCAGGGAGGTGGTAAAGTTTGCAGATGATACCAAACTGTTTAGGATAGTCAAGACAGAAGCAGACTGTGAGGGACTCCAAGAAGATCTCACCAAACGGAGTGATTGGGCAACAAAATGGCAAATGAAATGTAATGTGGATAAGTGTAAAGTAACGCACATTGGGAAAGATAACCCCAACTATACATAGAATATGATGGGGGCTAATTTAGCTCCAACTAATCAGGAAAGAGACCTTGGAGTCATCGTGGATAGTTCTCTGAAGACGTCCACGCAGTGTGCAGCGGCAGTCAAAAAAGCAAACAGGAAGTTAGGAATAATTAAAAAAGGGATAGAGAATAAGATGGAGAATATCTTTTGCCCTTATATAAATCCATGGAACGCCCACATCTGGAATACTGCGTACAGATGCGGTCTCCTCATCTCAAAAAGGATATACTGGCATTAGAGAAGGTTCAGAGAAGGGCAACTAAAATGATTAGGGGTTTGGAACGGGTCCCATATGAGGAGAGATTAAAGAGACTGGGACTTTCAGCTTTCAAAAAAGAGGAGACTAAGGGGGGATAGGATTGAGGTCTATAAAATCATGAGTGGTGTGGAGAAAATGAATAAGGAAAAGTTATTTACTTGTTCCCATAATATAAGAACTAGGGGCCACCAAATGAAACTGATGGGCAGCAGGTTTACAACAAATAAAAGGAAGTTCTTCTTCACACAGCGCAGAGTCAATCTGTGGAACTCCTCGCCTGAGGAGGCTGTGAAGGCTAGGACTAGAACAGGGTTTAAAGAGAACTAGATAAATTCATGGAGGTTAAGTCCATCAATGGCTGTTACCCAGGCTGGGTGAGGGATGGTGTCCCTGGTCTCTGTGTGTCAGAGGGTGGAGATGGATGGCAGCAGAGAGATCGCTTAATCATTCCCTGTTTGATTCACTCCCTCTGGGGCACCTGGCGCTGGCCACTATGGGCAGACAGGACCCTGGGCTGGATGGACCTTTGGTCTGACCCCGTCTGGCTGTTCTTATGTCCCGAGGTCACACAGCCCCTAGCCCTTGGCCCTGCTGCCAGGACAGCCACTGCCCAGGAAGGGATTGGTGTAGCTGCATCAGCTGAGGGTCTGTGCCCCCATGTCCCTGCAGCCTTCCGGGAGCCAGTGCGTGCAGGAGCTGGCTGCTGCCTCACGCTACAGAGGCTGTGAGGATGGCAGCCGGCTCCCCAGGAGCGGGGCAGGAGCCTGTGTGTAACCATGAATGCTCACTCCTAAGCCCAGGCTTATTGGTTAACCGTGTACATGGTTCCATGCTCCCATCCCTAGCTCTGACTGCACCTGACACCGAGGGGGGACTAACTCAGCTGAGCGCTGGGGAGCACTGAGCCCTGGGTGCCAGGATCTCTGTGCCTTGCCCCTGTGTGTGAGGCAGGCCAGGGTTACAGGCCCTTGCTGCTATTACCTCCCTCCCTGCCCCCCCAGCCTTGGGGCAAATCCCTGATCTGACTGAGTGCCTCCTTTCCACAGGGCCGACCAGAGATGGACTGAGAAAGCCAAGAGTGTGACAGATGGGCCAGCGTGAACATGGGACGGACCCTCCAATATGGCCCACACCTGAGTCCCACCCGGCTCGCCTGGGGGCCTGATCTCCCCCAGCACCAGGGCTGTGTAATACAGCGCTCTGTCATGGGCTGCCCCCCATGCTTATGAAAATGGGCTTATGAATATGCATAACGCAACAATGCTTTAGGCCAAATGTATCATGTGACATATCATTTTAAAGTGACAATCTGCTGGATGTGTATATTCTGTTTCTCTGCATCTATCGGCCTTGTATGTGAGGTTAGAAATATGAAGGTTAGATGTGTTTTATTAATCTACGTCTTCTAGCGAAAGTCATGAGTGGTATTTATGGAAACTTAATGGCCCAGTGCTCAAGACAAAGATCTGCAAATTGGTTTGTTTTTCCTACATGCCCAAACTGTGGTTGGTTTTAGAAAGACACGTGACTATGTCAACTGGTACAGGAATCCATCTTGAATCTGGTATTTTTCCATGGGGAGCGTTTTAGCCAAATGATTCCAGCCCTGAGGAAAGTCTCTTTAGGAAGGGAAAACAATAAGTCTTTTGTCTGCAGCTGGCTTTTGAAATTGCCACCCCACTTTAAGAGGATACACATGAAGAAACCTGAAAACAAAGAATTCTAAAGAACCCTGAGAAGTGGTAGACCCAGGCCAGAGAAAAAGATCAACTTTTGTCTTGAAGGATTTTACCTGAAATAGAGACAAGGGTGAGACATAAACTTTGAAGCAATTTCTCCTCGTGTATAAGGCTTAGCTGGCATACTTTGTTTATTTTGTCTTAGTAACTTCCTTTGATCTGTCTGTTTTCACTTGCAATCTCTTGAATCCTACTTGTTGTCCTTAATAAAAACACCTGTTTGATATCAAACCCAGTATAAATAATTGTTACCGGAGGGAGGAGCAACCACTGTGCATCTCTTTTTCACGGTTAAAGACACCAAATATCTTAGGGGCTTGCTCTGTGTAAAAAGTCGGATGGATTTATTTGGGGGTTTGGATCTCTTGGGCGGTGCTCCTAGGTGCTGTCAATGAGCTTATATCTGAGCCTCCTCAGAGCGGAGGTGGTTCAGTGTCCATGTTGCTATGCTGGGGGGCTGTTACCCCAACTTTGTGCCTTGCCTGGGGGAGACCAGAGCTTCTGGCCCAGCAGGCTCAGTGGCATCATCAGCACACTGGGTCACAGTCCCAAGGGGATCTCTGTGATCCACCCTGTCACAAGCTCAGCTCAGCTGACCTCTCTGGGACACCCCCCTCCAGCTGGATCCTGTGCGCAGGCTAATGTTCCTGGTGAAACACCATCTCCCAGGGGTGGCAGACATCGGGCAGTGTCACCAGAGTGTGAGTTGCCATGTAGTCCCTGGGGTCCGGAGCCCAGCTCTGATGTTAACATTGTGGCAAGTCACAAGGGATCCTGCGTAGCCTTAACATGTTAATGTCTAGTCTTACTTCCTTACTAACTGCAGAGAGAGACCCCGGCAGGACTCCTGGGCCCTGTCTCAGCTCTGGGAGGGGAGGGGCTAGGGGGTTACAGCAGGGGACAGATACATTTGGGCTCGATATAAGATCAGAGCGGCCAGACTGAGTCACACCAATGGCCTGCCTAGCCCAGTGTCCTGCCTCCCAACAGTGGCCAGTGCCAGGTGCTTCAGAAGGCATCAACAAAAGAGGCATCATCACATGATCCATCCCCTGTTGCCCATTCCCCACTTCTGGCAAACAGAAGCCACGGACAGCATCCCTGCCCGTCCTGGCCAGTCGCCACTGATGGACCGAACCTCTGTGGGACTTATTTGGTTGTTATTGGAATCATGTTACAGTGTGGGCCTTTCCACCAACTCCCGGCAGGGAGTTCCACAGGTTGACGGTAAAGAAATAATTTGTTTTAAATCTGCTGCCTATAAATGTACTTGGAGGAGCTTCTAGAGTTATGTCAGCGAAGGAGTAAATAACATTTCCCTACTGGATTTTCCCACACCGGTCATGATTTTCTAGACCTCCAACATATCTCCCCACCTTTTAGCCATTTCTTTTCCAAGCTGAAAAGTCCCCGTCTTGTTAATCTCTCCCCGTCTGGAAGCTGTTCCTTACCCCTTATCATTTCAGTTGCCTTTTCTGTACTTTTTCCAAATCCAATTTATCTTTTTTTTAGATGGGGTGACCAAATCTGCCTGCAGTATTCAAGCTGTCGCTGTGACATGACTTTAGAGAGAGGCAACAGAGTATTTTCTGTCTTATCTATTCCATTCCCAGTATTCTGTTAGGTTTTTTAGTTTTCAGACAGCCCCTGCGCACTGAGCAGATGTTTCCAGGGAACTATCCACCAGGATTCCAAGATCTCTTTCTCGAGCGGTCACAGCTACTTTAGACCCCAACATATTGACCTATAGTTGGGATTCTGTTTTCCCATGGACATTGCTTTGTATTTGTCAATGCCGAATTCCATCTCCCTTGTGTCGCCCAGTCACCCAGTTCTATGAGATCCCTCGGTAACTCCTCACACTCAGCTTTGGACTAAACTATTTGGAGTAATTTGTGGAATCTGCAAATTTTGCCACCTCCCTATTTACCCCCTTTTCAAGAACACTTATAAGTTTAACAGCACTGGTCCAAATTCAAAGTGTAGCAGCACAACACACATGGCTACTCTTCCCCCCCCATCTTTTAAGTACCTGGCAATGTTTTCTTGATGCTCTAAGGACCCTTCAGTGGCTGGCACGCCCAGCCTTTTGTTACACCGGCCTCCTTCTTTTTATAATAAACTCCCTGCCCCTAGAGACAAGCTTAAAGCAGCTTTCCCTGACAAGTCTGAAATCCCAGGGTTCAAATTTTAAAGAAGGGCTACTGCTCCCTAGCCCCTCCCCCACAATGGCACCCTTGTGCAGAAAGAGCAGCCAGCAGAGAGGAACTGTAGCTTGTGGGGCAGCCAGCCACGGCAAGTGCTCAGAGGGTGGAGGAAGAAGGTGCCTTCTTCCAGCAGGGAGCCATGTGTCCCTCTCGGGTGCACAGCTGTGCACCGGGGAACGCAGGGCCTTGCCCTAAGCAGTGGAGCTGCACAGACATCCTCCCCCCCCAGTAGATGGGAACACCCTTTCCTGTTCACACTGGCCCCTGCACAACTGAAAATGGCTGGCAGCTGAGCTCACTTATAAGCATGGCTCCTGGATGGCTCAGCTGCCCTCCCTTAGCCTGAGTGGTACCAGCATTCAGGCTCCAGTGGCTGCAGCTGAGAGGGGGCTGAGAACAAACCCAACTGCTGGGCTGAGGGGAAAGGACTAATTGCTCCACAGTCTGCCTCCCTCTGTGCTGTATTGAGGCAGCAGCTGCAGGTCTGGGCCCCAGGTACTGGCGGACAGAAAAGCTAAATCCCCATGGCTCAGCTGGGGGAGGCCTAGGGAGAGCATAAAACCAGCCAGCTCACAGCACCGCTGGATGCTGAATGTGGCAGAGCCCTGGGGGAGAGTCACTGGGAATAGGGGGATTAATTTAAGAAAGGGAGGGGCCCGTTTGGCAACAGGGAAAGCTTGGTGAGCCTGCTGACGAGTGGGGGAAGGAGGGTTCCACTGACTCCTCTCCCTGTGGGTGGTCGCTTGGAGGCCGAGTGGGGAGTCAGGCTCTTGGTCTATCTCAGCCCTAGCTGGGCTGTGGGGCTGGGAGAGAATTGTGCAGGAGGGGAAGCAGGGATCCTGCTCTTTGGTTAGTCATAGGGTGCCACAGGACTCCTCGCTGCTTGTGCAGATCCAGACTAACACAGCTCCCCTCCGATACTGCTTTAACAATGTGGGGCCCAGAAAAACAAGGCCGGTCAACCTTATGCTAAGGAAAGCTAACAAAGGCTCATTTCATAGGCCTCTGAGGATTCTTGAGCAGAACCAGGGATGTGGTTCAAACAGAGGCGCCCTCCATGCTGGCTTAGGTTATAGAAGTAAGATAAGTGCTAAATGACAGATTTGTACCTACTACGGCTTGCTTTGGGAACTGGTCAGTGACTCCCTGTTTCTGTTCCCCTTCGCTAACCTTACCTCCCTAGTTTTGCCCTTTGTTTGTGCCCGACTCCTTTGTCTCCTTGTTCCTGGTACCTGCATTTTGTGATTGATAAGAAAGTTGCTGATGCATCATGAAGCGCTTCTGGCCACAATCAATGGTTGGCCAAGATATGCATAGATATTAAAAGTTTTAGAAAGGTGGGTAAGTGGCCTGGGTGAAGAGCTAATGACGCGACGGAACTGTCTTTATAAGCCTACCTGTTACTAAAATCGGGACTGGTTCTCTTTGGAGACGGGCCGCTCTCTATTGTTGGGCGCACTCTTCAATAAAGAGCTTGGGATTGGACTTTGCTGGTGTTGACTGTCTCTTTGAGGTCAGACAATGAACCGAGTCGTCTGGGCTAGAGACCCTGACAACAAGGAACCCAAATAAACCCTCTCTCCTTCCCCGACCTGCCATGGGAAATGGCACTTCGTAACTCCTGTATGATCACAAAGTGACAAGGAATATTTCTGCCTCGCTTTGCCGTTGGGTGGCATTTCAGAACTGCTTGACTGGTGCACAGGTTAATTCATTTAGTTCCTAACACGAAGGCCAGCTCCTTAAAATATTTGCATTTAGTTTTGCCTGTGTAAGCGGGGGAATGGTCCCGCTATTGTGGGGAACTTTCCTGGTTTCTATACCACCCCGGTGAAATGGACCAGCGAAAGGATCTGAGTCCCCGCTCCCACTTCCTTTACCCCACGGCCTCCCTGATCCTGAGGGCTCCCCCTCCACTCTCCTGAGTAGCAGAGTCCTTGAAACCCCAACAAGGCTGGGCCCAGGTTTCCTGGGGCTTAATCCCCGACCTTGTAGTCACTAGGGGCAGGAGTTAGGGTGTCCCCACTCCGAGGTGCTCTCTTCACACTGCAGGCTTTCTTGGCCCAGTGATCATTTCATACGGTTCTAAGCAAATACGATTTATTAAACATCAACTGATTCAAGAGAAAAGAATAAGAAAAAATGAGAATGGTTAAATGAGAACACACAGCCCTGCTCTGTGGCACGGGGACATCAAAACAGCAGCCTGCAGAGTGTAAGGACAATTCACAGTTTCTTCCTTATAGGCCCCGGATGTGCTGCAGGGGGGCTGCAGGCTGGACACGCTTGCTCTGGCAGTGACCACACAGCCTCATGCTCTAAGTGGCCAGACCCCTCTCGCAGTCTGGCCTGCTGGGCCTCTTGGCTTGGC